CGCCCAACACACCCCTTTGCCCGATTACTTTGACACAGCGAGTGGAAAACCGGGTGGTGCCGTCAGACCGTAACATTTTCTTATACCGAGGACTGTCATGTTGAAAACTTCACAGATAGACCTCTGGGGTATCGAGAGGTGGACCACTGGGTCTCGGTGATCACAGAGCTGTCGATAGTGGAAGCATTCGGGCACTGATTGAAGTGCTTTGGAGATACCACTTGAGTCACTTGACTTTTCAATCTTCTTGAGTGGATAAATATCTTCTCTTTTCAGGGCGATTGAGGTTTTGGGGGGGGGGAGGGGGAGGGGGAAATATTGGCCTCTGAAGCGATTTTTGAGAGGACCATTTGGAGGAGTCCAACTTCACAGCAACAACGAATGTCTCTCAATTCACGGAGGAGAAATATTCAATAAAAGTTACGTATCTTTTTCGTAATTCCAGACTGATATGCACAATTTCATTTAACACGGGGAAAAAATTGTTCACCTGTTGGAAATAATTTTTTTCTCCCAGAATTACGGACACAATATTGAAAAAAAAAAATGCTAGAATTTTCCAGATACTTCAATTGACGAATTCAATTTTTGTCCAATTTTTCCGGTCAACCAGTCGATGATAAGGTGAATAAAACGACGTCTAGGGTTAAAAATCGTGCAATCCATATAATTTTATAATGAATGGAGAATTAAAAAGTGATTCTATCTGGACACATGCAGCACCGTCTGGAGAATAGCCTCGAGGCTCTAATGATAATACAATAGTACTCCAGAATTTTCCATCAGATTTAATTTTTCATTTATTTCTGTGTCGATATAACGCGACTGGCAAACTTCCAAATGGCTTTTGGAACAATTTTCGACGTCAAGTGGAGGACGGGGGAGAGCGAATTGGGCTCCAGGATGTGTCGAAGGACGGCTAGTCACTCGGCTTTATGCAAACTATAGGCATAAAAGTTTTTCGCATGAAAAATATCGGCCTTGGAATAATGAATATGAGTTTATGCTCGGTTTAACCTCTCACGTTTTTTTTTTCGAGTTGAAACTAACGGAAAATTCAATTTAGGGGATTTTTTGATGGTTCGAGGGTCTGACAATCGTATGAGCAAACTTTTTTTCAAGCGTTAACGAGTGTACTCATGAGGTGGAATAATAGTTCCAGGGAAATTTTGAGGAATTTCGTTACTGAAAATTCAAAATTTCATGGAATATATTCTTGAATTTTTAGGTAATTTATCATTCAGGATAATTTGGTAATGAATTTATTTTCAATAAACATTCAATTTAATTTCATTTTTAATAAAGTTACATTTCATGATTTTTCTCCCTGAAATTTCATTATTTTTCCCTCTGACATTTGAACGAATTGAAAATTCAAAATTTAATTTAATTGAAATTCCAAAATTTCATGAAAAAATTGACCGAAACTGTCATTCTCAATGAATGAAAATTCTGTATATTTGAGCAATAAATATTAATATTTTAAATAACAATTCAATTTAATTGAATTCTCCGTAAAATTAGAAATTTTATGATTTTTTCCCTCTGAAATTTCAAAGAATTAAAAATCCACAATTTAATGAAAAAATCTATGAAAACTGTAATTTTCAATTAAAATTCAGGACATTTTCGCGACAAATATTAATATTTAAAATATCAACACTTTAAATCCAATTCCGTAGCGAAGTGGTGAAACGGTACAAATCAATTTTGATTATTGACCAGTTTTCAATGAATATCTCGGAATCCCCGGGAGATAGCAAAATTTTTGTTACAACCTTTTTTACAGAACCGATTGAGAGCTACAAAAAAGGTAATCACGAAAATTTCGATATCTCCCTTAGATTCGGAAATATTCCTCAAAAACCCAACTGGGAGATGAGTCGACTTGCACCGCTTTACCACTTCGCTACTAAATTAAATTGACATTTCAGCAAAATGTGAAATTTCATGATTTTCCCTCCAATCAATTCACTGCCCCCCCCCCCCCCCCCCCCCNTTTTTGGCTCTCCTTTTGAATTCGCCATAAAAAAATCGCGGTCTTGCACAATAGAGGGGACAAAGTGTTTCTTGATAGAACGGTGGAAAAAAAAAAATGAAAATAAATGAATGGGGAAATTTGAATGGAAGAGGAGGCAGTGCAGTTGATACGATGGTCGTCATGACGATGGGTATCGATCTTCTCGTTCTCCGGAGCTGTTGGAATCCTCGACATTTTCCTTTTTTCCTGGCTCTTCCGCATTCTCCACTTTTCCTTCAGCAATTGCTGTATCGTTCCACCGTCTGAGGAACTTGCGAATTCATCTCGGCAATCAATAGTCACGATTATGAACCCCCTTGCATCGATTCGCGATTTTATTTTTAATGAGAAGAAGATGAAGACGACAGATTTTTTTTCAATATCGGAGATTAATTAGGGGGGGGGGGAAANGGGGGGGGGGGGGGAAATCGGGGAGCGAATGTTGGAGTTGCCGCTCGCTAATGAAACACTGCATTAACGCAACTGCGTAATACGATAACTGTTCGAGAGATTCGCGGGGAAAGCCTGCAATGCGTCGGAAATGCCTCAGGATCGGGCGCAGCTGCACATCCCCGGAACTTGCTCTCGAGCCAAGAATTTGAGTCGTAACAATTGATGAGCTTTTTCGGGTGAGGATCATTAGGGATTCAATTTGGGGTGGTATTTTTTGGATAATTCAGGCATATTTCATCATTTTTGCTCTACGGAATTTTAATCGTCTAGACTTTATAAATATTCAGAATGACTTGAAGAGAATCAAGAGAATGAACGAGTGAAACATCAATGAATAATTTTTCATCTTCGATTAATTCTTTTTTTTTACTTTTCAAAATAATCTGATTAAAATCTGTAATTGTTGAAAAATGAGGGGAGGGTTATGAATTGATTTTCTAGAAAAGTGAAAAAATTTATTGAATTCTTCGGAAAATTTCACAGCTTTCCAGATAACTGTAGATCTTAGATCGTAGATCTTCCAAGATTTTTCTCGAATTATTTGGGAAACCGATGAATTTTCGTGAATTTTGTAGAGTTTAGAATTTATGGATGAAAATCTGAGAAGCAAGAATTGATTATTTTTGCGCATGATCCGCCCCCCTCCCGCCCCTCTCAATAAATCCACCCCTACAATAAATTCAAAGAAAATGGATAAGTCACAAAAAACGTCTTATGACCCCACGTCTTAATGAAGTTCTCCAGTAATCGAAATTATGAATTGGGGGGCTGCAGTCGCCTCACCCTAGCCAGAGTAAAACCAATCCATCCATCAGCAACGAAACACCACCAGTAAACGGGTCATAATTCTATTGTCGCGGCGCTGACAAAATAAATTCGTGCCGATTTAATTTCTCGGTCAATCCAGAGTGGTTTATATTTGGGGTCAACGGGAGCCATTTATCGATTTCAACCACCGCATGTCCGACCCAGAAAGGCGTTCCTGTGAATTTATACACCTCGAATGTACGCCAGTCATGCCGAAGGGGTGGGGGGGGGGTCTAATTTTAACTGGCTATCTCGTGCGCTTCATCTGTTATTGTCAGTAATTCATAAGACTTTGAGTGCCCGTGACGTCACGAAAGTAGAAATTACTTGATCAATATAACGATCAGACGTTGATTCAGCTGAAATTATTTGAGTTCGGGAAATATTCGACTGAAATTTCCTGATTGCTATCGGTTAGGTTTTTATTTCATAAAATATATAGCCTAGCGAGACCTTTTGCATTCGCATTGTTTAAAACTAATTCCTTATTTACATCTTTATAGTACTAGGGGGCTACGCCCCCTGCTCGTTCCGCTCGTCAACCCCCACGGATCCTTATTCTGACCCTCGTGATCCTTATTTTCACCCTTTCATTTTCGACCCTTAATTTTAAAGTCTTAATTTTGAGCACCAAATTTTCATCACCAAAAGTCGATTTGTATTTGAAAATATAGAGATATTGATGCCCTTATTATGATCTATGACCCTTATTTGGACCCTTGCGATCCTCATTTGGATAATCTGACCCTCATTATAACTCTCGTGGACCTTATTTTGACCCTGGTGACCCTTAGTTTCTGGCCCTTGATTTTTGACTCCCATGTCAATTATTTGGGCCCTTACTCCTGACCCTTACGACCCCTAATCTGACCCTTATTGAATAAATCGAGAGTATCCGCTGGGATTCAATTTTTTCATTGACATTTTTCATCTTCTGTTACAGATTTCGAATGATTTACTGTAATACCGAGGGAATGTCGCCGTCTCTGTGGCTACTGGCAACGACAGACGAAACGAGGTGTCTCTTCCACCGGTAGGAGGAAGTTATGGTGTCTTGTCGAATGCGATGCCTGTTGCCGCAGCCGTGGCACTGTGGCACCGAGCCCACCTCTACAAGGCGCTCGCCTGTGTCGTTCTCGCACTCATTGCCTTGCAGTATCTACTTAGCGGTGTACTTGACCGTCGCTCGCTCGAGACAATATTCACCATAAATACTACAAGGTGTGTGAATTATTTTTTCACGTTGAGACGTTTTTCATTTCATGTTGGGGATCATTCGCGGAGTTAACCATCTGTCGGAATTCCAGATTTTTCCAGCAAATTCGAGAAAATTCTCCGGTTCTCTAGACAATTCTTCGGTTTTCCAGACAATTCGAGGCAATTTTCCGGTTTTCTAGACGATTCCAGGCAATTCTCCGGTGTTCTAGACAATTCAAGGCAATTTTCCGGTTTTCTAGACAATTCGAGGCAATTTTCCGGTTTTCTAGACAATTCCAGGCAATTCCCCGGTGTTCTAGACAATTCAAGACAATTTTCAGATTTTCTAAACAATTCGAGGCAGGTCTCCGGTGTTCTAGCCTATTCGAGGCAATTCTCCGTTTTTTTGAAAAATTAAATTTGGGTCAATCCGTACAATAAGAAAAATTCTACGCAACCGCATCCTAGCTGTATCACATGAATAACAACCTAGATGCAAGGTAGAAAATGTTACAAGGATCAGTATAAAAACTGAAAAAAAAAGGTACAAAAAAATCCCACATTTTTCCAATTTTTTTGGTAGAAATGTCCGGTTTAATTCTTGGGAATTTTTATCACGTTATAGTTACACTGGAATATCAAGGAAGTTCATTACTGCAAGTTCAATTATTCCATGAAAATTGAACAGGGAAATTTAAATTCTCCAATTCCCAAAAAAATCGATAATTCAAATAAATTGAGGAATTTTCGTCTTCTTGCAGCAAAAAAATTTGGAACTTCATTGAATTTTCAGGATGTCAATTATTTTTCAATTATCCGAGGGCAATCGTCACCCTTGTGACCCTAGCAGAAGGGTCAGAATTTTTTTTTCATTTCGATATTTTTGTCACGCTCAATATTTCCTCTTCTGAAAAAATACCCATCAGTAAAAAATCAAAAGAAAAACTGCACGGTTCGTTAAGCAGAGTCGACACGCGGCATTTCTCAGTCCCCGAAATTACAATAATGACTCACAGTGCATGTCGCGTAACGCCGGTAGCAAATTTGGGAGATATCATTTACCGGAGTTTCCGCAGTGGCTACAGGAAAGCAGGAAATTACTTTCAACTGCAGTCGAAAATTATTACAAAACAACAGAGGAACATAAAAATATGGCATCAAATGCTTGCAATCAAAAACATTCAATTGGACTGAATACAGCCAACACTTGAAAAACTAGTCATGAAAAAAATTTTTTTTTAATGAAGAAAAAAATGTCTTATTTTGCGACATTCGTCCGACCACCGCTGTCTCAAATTAAGACGCCTAAAACTCCCTAAACTAAAATGTTGAATAAGAGAAATCCCCGAAGTCCTCGGATATCCTCGAAAGCATTCCTGAAAACTCCGACAAATTCTCAACATGACAATTCATCCCATTCACCCTCCTCCCACCTCAGCTCACTCGCCCCCCGCCACTTTATTACGAGTTTACTCAAACAAAATTCACCCATCCCACCTCACCACCACGACATAGTTTACACCGTTGAGTAAAAAGTTTATCGTTGGAAAGGAGTGACGTCCAAAGTTTGGACACATCCAGTTGTTCGGTTAGATATAACAGACAAGTAACCTCTGTATACGAGTTTGCGCGATGATGCTGTGGGGCCATAGTGTATACAGGAAACATCGATCCACTTGATCCAATTATATGAAATTCCATTATCAGGCTCGTTGCACAACTGTTGTGGCAATGAAACCGGCCATTCGTGTCTTTTGTCAAGTCTTGAAGAATAACATCACTGAGAAAAGAATTCGGTTAATGTTACCTAACGAATTCAGTTGAATCTTTTTTTCTGATCCGCTTGTATTAAATACATATTCGTTGGAGTTAACTGTAAATCTTGTTGATTCAATGAAATCTAATTTCCTGCACAGTTCTAAGAACACAACGGTTTTGTTGACGCAAGCGAGTATTCGGTAATAGTTACCGAATCTCGACTGATGGTACACGCCATCTAGTTCATATCTACAGTTCAAGATCATCGTCTGTAAGTTTTCATTTACATGTCGCAGAGACGCCGATTACATCATATCCGATTGCTATTTTCATCAGAATAAAGTGAATTTTAAAGTAAATTCATAAGAAATGAAGGATTTATTAATGTGTTTCGGTTTGATTGTTTTGTGTGAATTATTTTTCAAAAGCGATAACCTTAAAGAATGTGTCTCAAGTGCTGGAATTTAATCCTTCTAAATAGCTCCTCTCGGTACGATACTATATATGAACGAACAACCCATTTTTCACATCAATTGACCATTCAGTAACTATTACCGAATGGTTCATTTGGATGAACACGCCACAGCTCAGCTGAATCGTTCGGTAACTATTAACGAATATTCAGTTGTTCTAACTCAACAGCGCCATTCGGTAACAGTTACCGAACCTCGTTAACATCAACTGAATTCTTCTATCAGTGCATGGGGGTGAAACAAAAGGCCGTGAGAATGGAAACATGACAAAACTCGTTGAAGCCAGAACGGTGAACGGATGTCTGACAGTGATAATTGCTGGCGCAGCCTTGGCGGATCGCACTGTCGAATTTATCGTTCTTAAATGAAATTTATTTATCGTCTTTTGCCATGTCTAATGCCCTCTTACTGCTCCCGAGGAGAAACATGAGCTCATGTGGGGGGAGCATGCCATCACCGCAGGCAATGCTTGAATATCAAATTGGCGTCACTTCAGCCACCGCAGACCGATGTTTGTTGGGACTGCTCAATACAATGTTACGTTTATCTGGCTGGGGCGGGGTGACGCCAGCCGTTTGTCATCCAGATTCCAAGATTCTAAGGTTACCTGATGCGCTCGTCCAGACAGATAACGCATTTCAAGGGATGTATTACACCCTTTTCTCAAAAATTCACGTTTTGTGAATTTTTCTGGTAAATTGTTGATCGGACTGACGTGAAAAAATATACCGTTTTTGTGGTTTATCATTATTTAATGACTCACGTAATTTCATGATCGCGCAATCACCCGAGTGGAAAATTTGGTCAGGTTTGATCAGACACTGATCAAGTTATGATATCAGATTCTGATCAGATATGTAACGCTATAATTTTTGGATTTTCCACTAGGGTATGTTCTATACGGGTGCGAATGCGATATAGTATAAAATCCACAGCCGCATGCATAGGGTTGGATAGAGAGCCGAACCGAGACTCGAAAAGGGGACTCATCAGGGTCTTTAAAAAAAAAAAAAAAAAAAAAAAAAAAAAAAAAACAATTCAATTGATAAATTTGTTGACTGAAAATGGTTAAATCTACACTGTGATATCCTTCAATTAACATTTCTCACTCCCGTGGAAATGTGAAAATAATATTCACGGTAGTCCCAGTGTATTCTAGGTACATCATAACTCAGGATGAAGGACGAGCGACGCTCGTGTCCTTTTTCCCTCCAGCTACTAAAATCCGAATATTATTGGTGGGGCTCAACTATGTACACAATTTGATAAATCGACAGGCGACTCGTTTGCCATTCGTAGCGTTTCATAATGTAAAAATGCCACTCAGAAAAATAACGACACAGTTTTACTCCTTTCTTTCTTTATCTCTGGGGTCACGCTATTTTCAGCAAGCACGCCTTTTTATGCACTCTTTCTTCTTATTCTTCCTTTATTTGACTTTTTTTTTTCATTCGGGGGTGGGGAAAAATGAAGAAAGCTATCCTATTTTCATTGAACTGAAATTCCTTCATTCAGAGGGAATTTATAGAGGTAAAAATGCTTGAGGCAAAAATCTTGAGTTTTCATAAAATGAATTGAAATAAAAAAAAAAAATTTAATTAAATCTGTTCCCAATATTTGACCTCTTTCCCTTGTATCTTCGCCCATACGCCATTCGCGATGAGCGATAACCGATAAGAATGACAAACCTAGTATTCCGCATGCATTAAAAAAATATCGGAAATCAAATACGTTCGGAAATTCCGTTGGCATCCGGGCCTCGATGCAATTATCGAATATCACGTGCCGTCTATTTGCAAGACTCGACTGCCCCGGGTGCAGAATCCGATTCTAATCACCGGTAAATGGCCATCTGACACTGAGGTCACGTCACGTGCCGAATCACTACCGTATATCGAGCGATGTATACCAATAATTTCAGTGAGAACCACTCAACTCAATTCACCTGACCGTCAAAACAAAACAAAACTAGAAATCCCTCATTATTGAATTATAGATATGCTGACCACGCCTACAGAAGCCACCCCCATGGCTTAATAATTTACGGTCTTGGAGTGTCACCAACCTATCCACCATCAACTCTGAATATCACTTCAACCGCTCAGCTAACAGTGGCAGCACCTCGAGACATCAATAATGCTACGAAGCAGGATATGAATGCAACGAGAATCAGTGGTGTCTCATCGGCTCCAAACGCCACAGACGCGTCGACTCCGCAACTATGCCCTCTCATTCCCCCCAATCTTGGTGAGTATCGAGTGTTGGAACTAAATAGAACCCAGAGAGAAACAATGGGAAAATCCCCCCTTAGCCATTTGCAGAGCCCTGACTTCTATTACAGAATCGGTTCAGATTCAATCGATTTTTCCAACTTTTCTGTCTGATCTGGCCCAGACTATAGCCCCCCCCCCCTCCCCCTCCGACCGTTTTTGAAGGCAGTTCAGAGCCAGTTTAGGGCCCCACATTGTGGGAATCTATTTCATTTTTCTTTTCGAAAAAATATCGCCGAGAACTGGGATCAAAGCCGCGATCTCTCGCACATTAGGCAGACGCGCTACTAATGAGCCAGAGCGCCCGATTTATTTTGATGAGTTAAAATTTTCACTCTTCGAACGAGACGATTTATTCTGTTTTGGGCCAGTCTGGTCTGGCCCATATGATGCCCCCTCTGTCTTCTTGAGGGCAATTCGGACCCAGTTTAGGGTCCCACATTGCGGGGACCACCGATACCCCAGAATTTCTTGTTACCGATCGGAATCTATTTCATTTTTCTTTTCGAAAAAATAACGCCGAGGGCTGGGATCGAACCCGCGATCTCTCTCGCACATTAGGCAGACGCGTTACCAATGAGCCAGAGCGCCCGATTTATTTTAACGACTTAAAATGCTCATTTTTCAAACGCGATGCGCATTTTTTCACCGTAATTTGCATATTATTGTTTGTTTCGGCAGTTGGACCACTGACAGTCAACAAAAATCCCCCGGAATTATCGAAAATGGAGAAGGAACTCACCGATGTAGAAAAGGGCGGTAGAGGCCGGCCCTCGGACTGCACTCCCAGACACCATGTTGCTATAATAATTCCGTTCCGCGATCGACCGCAACATCTCCAGACGCTGCTTTACAATCTGCATCCGATGCTGTTGAGACAACAAATCGATTATCAGATATTCGTTGTTGAACAAGAAGGTATGAGTCCTTTTGTGTTGAAAATTTCATGGAAATATGAATGGAAAACTGTAAATTTCAGCTCAATTTCTCCATAAAAATTGGGGCATTCTCGTCTTCCGGCGGCTTAAAAATTTGCAATTTCATTCACCTCTCCACAAAATTTCAATTTTTTTTCTAACAATATCATTCAGTGAGATCCTCAAACACAGAGTATAAACAATTAAAAATAATACATGATCATCAGAACATTTCAACTATGATAAAATACGCCATCAATCGACTCTCTCACTTTATCATTCCAAAAACACCTTAATCACCTCGAAATTTGCTCTTAATTCATGTTCACGAGTGATAAAATTTATCACCGAACTGTTGCAATAATGAATTAGTGGGAGTAATCATTTTTTGATGATGGACAGCATTCGAAAAATTCATAACTGTCGGGTTCGTATCGCCAGGGTTATCAGTCCCAGTTATTTATGTGCGGGCAATAAATCAATGTTTTTTCAAAAATTCATTCCCCAGAGATGATTTGAAGATTCTTTTCTGGAAGCATTCCCCGAGACTACTTTTTCGTTTCCCTCGAACTGTGAATTCTATTTCGTGTAATTACCCCAAATTCATAGATCTCATATCTTTTTAGCCGAAATATTAATGAAAAAACTGAAATTAAATCAAATTTATCGGCTTCATCGACTGAATTTTCGTCAAATTCTCAATTTATTTATCAATAAAAAAAATGACTATTCGAGCCCCGAAATTGCGGCTTTAATAATTAAATCGATACTCAGACCCCTCAATATCAAATAGCTGTTCCCCAGGGTACAAAGCGCGTTATCACGCTAGCGGTTAACGCCTACCACTTGGCAACTACGCCACGGCCAAACGCTCATTAATACAATAGATAAAAAACAAATACGCCAGATATAGCCATTGATTTTGTTATCTGTACTTTGCCCTCTCTGATTTAAATGGCCACTGATAAGAGCTGATTGAACATTTGGCCACGATATTCCGATATTGATTCACGTAATGGTCTGGGATACCTGGGGAGCACAATGAAAAATAGGGAACACTTGAGATTCTGCATGGAGGAGCTTCAACTTTTTCTCCCCTTTAAAATGCGGAAGAAAGTGGGATGAGCCGCATAGAGAAGTTGGCAGAGCTTCCAGGCGCGTGACCTACATGTTGCCAGGGCGGAGTGACAAAACGACGCGTTGCGATGAGGTCAAGATGAGTAACTTGAGCGGACTGCATCGGCTTTATAACGCGAGAAGATGGACGGAGAAAATATCCAATAACGGGAGATGAAGGATTTTTTTTTTTCGGCGGATGGCATGTTCGGGGGGGTGTGGGGGTCAGGCTCGTAAGGGTCAGAAGGGTCAAAATCTCAATATTTGAGGTCGATGAGGGTCACGAGGGTTAGATTTACAAAACACCAAAATCTCGAACACTTTCATTTTTTTTGTCATTTCGGCTATAAGGCAGCGGACCTTTGACTTTTTTGTATATTTATAAAATATATTTTTTTATTTTTATTTTTTTCATTACGATCAAATATATTGTTCGTCATACGGCCTGAAAAAGTTTTCTAGCTCATATGATTGTAATCTCATATTTACCAGAAAAGTTTTTTTCGGCCTAATGACGAAATATGATATTTCAACACACTGTCCGTAAAACATCGTTTTACGGGCACTTCGTGAAGAAAAATATTTCTTTTTTTGCCTCGTGTGATTGTATTCCTTCGCCTCGGCCTGCAACCCTCACACTCATCAGAAAAGTTTTTTTTTGGCCTTGTGACAAAAATAGCTATTTTTTCATCACTTGCGAATAAAGTGAAATTTTTGTGCACACGCAAAATAGTAAAATAGGCTCGCTGAAAGTGAGTGCTATCCTCCCAAGAGTCAAAGAACACTTTTCCCATGAGTCTCAAAGCTTATTCTTCGTCACGATGTGTAGAAAATGGTATTTTGCGCACACCGAGCGTGCGTAAAATTTCACTTTACGCACGAGTGACGAAAAAGCGTCTTTTGACCCGTGAAAGGTGTGTGCTGTCCTCCGAAGGGTCAAACAACACTTTTCCCACGAGTGTCGAGCCCCATTGTTCATCACAGCGTGTGAAAAGTGAAATTTTATGCACAAGTGACGAAAAAAAATCATTTTAAATGCATTTCAGGCACTGGACTATTTAATCGCGCAATGCTGATGAACGTCGGCTACGTCGAGGCCCTCAAGGAGCAGAAGTTCGACTGTTTCATATTTCACGACGTCGATCTTCTGCCGGAAGACGACAGAAATCTCTACACATGCCCCGAGCAGCCCAGACACATGTCTGTCGCCATAGATAAGTTCAAGTACAGGTGAGATGAAGCCAACAATATTTCTTCACACGAGAGAAGAAAGTTTATCCTCGACTTTTTTTTTTTTCATCCACAGACTGCCATATGCAGACCTTTTCGGTGGGGTCTCAGCCATGTCAAGAGAGCAATTTCGCTTGGTGAATGGATTTAGTAATGTTTTCTGGGGCTGGGGAGGCGAGGACGACGACATGGCGAATCGTATTAAATCCCAGAACCTTCACATCTCACGTTATCCAGCGAATATTGCACGCTACAAAATGCTCTTGCACAGAAGGGAAAAAGCAAATCCCAGGAGGTTTGTTCATTTTTGTAAATGCCTCGTCCGAGAGGAATTTTAATGTCACTGGGGAGAAATTCCAACTTGTTACGAAGGCGAACAAGTCTGGGAAATTTTTTCGTTTTATTTTGTTGCGATGAATTTGTCGGAAATTTTTATCACGTGCCCCGGGAATGTCAGGGAATTTCGTCGTTAAAAATTCAATATTTTCAGGGAAAATATGTGGACGCTGAATTTTAGTTTTGTTGTTCTAGTAAAATTCATGGAAAATCTTCTTAAATTTTTGAGACATTGAGAATTTAGGAGTTTCACTGGAATTTCAAGTAATTTTGTAATTGGAGATTGAAAATTTAGTGGAAAATCAATGGAAAATGTTAATTTCAGTTTATTTACTCATTTTTCCTTTCCAAAAATTCAGGAAATTCAGGTAAATTTATTCTCAAATTTTTAATTAATTGAAAAAATCAGCGTAATTTAACACTGAATATTCATGTTTTGATTAAAAATTCAAGTAAGCTGAGGAATTTTCGTCATTCTGTTGCTAAAACGTTTGAAATTCCATTGAATTAAAAAAAATTGTTGCGAATTTACTACTGATGAAAAATTCAGGAGAATTCCAGTAAATATATCCTTGGATTTCCAATTAACAAAAAATTCAATTGAATTGAAAGAATTCTCGTCATCCTGCTGTCCAAAGAATTCGAATTTCATTCCTATTCACATCCTATTGACAAAAAATTCTGAAAAATTCGGTAAATCTATTTTTGGATTTCCAATGAACTAAAAATTCAATTAAATGGAAAGAATTCTCGTCATCCTGAATTTTATGAATTGTATTCTTGGATATCCAATTAACTAAAAATTAAATTAAATTAGAAGAATTCTCGTCATCCCCCTGCCCAAAGAATTGAAATTCCATTAAATTTTCACTGAAATCTAAAATGTTATAATTGCCTTCTTCCTCACTCTCCCAAAAATTCCTCCTAACCTACCACTGGAATTTAATTTTTTTCCAAATTGCTCCCCTCAATGACGAAACCCTCGATTCCAGGTACGAATTCCTGAAGACTGGAAAGAAGAGATTTCCAACCGACGGCCTGACGAACCTTGAGTACCAATTGATCGAGAAGAGGAAGCCCAAACTGTACACATGGCTCTTGGTAAGGCTGACCCCCCCACAGCCCAGCTGATGGTTACCCTGGATCGGTTAATCAAGCCGAAAAACCACTCAGAAAACATCCAGAGTGACTTAATAACCGACATAAAGAGCTATCACGCCCGAAAATTAAGTAAAAATGAAAAAACGAAGCTAAACGCACGTAAAAGAGTTGTTGAGTCACGTTGAGATCTCGAATCCCCTATTTTTTTAAAGTCCCGTACACCTAGTGCATTGAAAAAAGTAGTTGAAAACAGCTGATAAAGATGATTTAAGATTTAAAAAAAAAACGTGCCAAAAAGAGTAACAAGTGAAAGCATAAGGAAATGATCAGTGTCTTAAGTCTTCGTTCAAGAGTGCTGTGGTAAATCATGTAAAAATAATCGTTAATTTAATTTAATGATCGAGTGAATGTTCCTTCACCGCAAAAACGAATGTCTGAATTTTTCACACCTTCTGTAGCCACTTTTCAGTCAGACACTAAAAAAGATTTGAAGAAAATAAAAATTTGTCTGAATTTCAAACGTAAATTTAAACGTTTAAGCATTGGTTCGTCTCAAAAAAATTTTTTTCATTTTATTCAGACGTTTTTTAGCGTCTGAAAAATGTCTGCAAGAGACCTGTGAAATTCTGACACTCGTTTTTCGCTGTGTTTGTCCTCTATTTTTCGATGATAATTTCGTTGAGCGAATAATTTCGATTAATCGTCCAATGGTACGAACAGATTGTTTTCTAAGGAGATATATTATTTTTTTGAATGAATATCTGTTTATTGTTATTGTTGTGTGTGTCCGTGAAAACTGGCATTGCAGTTTGAGAATGAAATGCTTGTGAGGATTTGCAGCGAAATTACGCTAGTGCAATAAATGACGATGAGCAGGATTAATAGGCCAGATTTGTCGCATAATAATTGTTGGGTGAGTTGAGGGGGGGAATTGTAAATTTGTAGAAGGCCGATTGTATTTTTTTATATTTGTGAATTCGCAGTGAAGAGGGAGAAGGAGATCACAGCATTCGTCTGATTGTCATCGTCATTGAATTTTCAAATGAGTCGTTACAACTTGATTGTCAATATAATGTTGTTATTTGGTTGTATAATTTTTTTTTGTTTTTCGTTGAGGGCCAAATGAGGTTAAAACGATTTTACCCTCAATCCCGAACGGGCTGAAGGGTCGTTTGACCCTTAAAACAATTTAGTCCTTGACTCGAAAGGGTCTTAAAGATCATTTGACCCTCAAAGCCATTTGACCTTCAATTCGAAACCTCCTCAATGGTCATTTGACCTTCAAAATCAGTAAATCCTCGACCCTAAAAGTGCTGAAGGGTCATTTGACCCTCACAACAATTTAACCCTTAACTCAAAACGTTCTTGAGGACCACTTAAACCTCAAGATTATTAAAGTCTCAACTTTAAACATCTTTAAGGGTCGTTTGACCCTTAAACCGTTGTGAGTGTCAACTCCAAACGTCCTTGAGGGTTATTTGACTCTTAAAACGATTTGACCTTCAATCCCAAATCTCCTTAATCGTCACTTGACCCTCAAGATCATTAAATTCTCAACCCCAAAAGTGCTGAAAGGTCATTTGGCCCTCACAACCATTTAATCCTGGACTCCAAACGTTCTCAAAAATCGTTTGACCCTCAAAACCATTTGATCCTTAACTCAAAACGTTCTTAAGAGCCATTTGACCCTCGAAACAATACGAGTCTCAACTCCAAACGTTCTCAAGGGTCATTTGACCCTCAAGACCTTTAACCTTCATCTCCAAACATCCTTGAGGGTTAATTGATCCTCAAAATCATTTGACCTTCAATTCAAAACCTCCCCAATAGCCATTTGACCCTCACAACCACTTAACCCTCGACTCCAAACGCTCTTAAACATCATTTGACCCTCAAATCATTCAACTTTTAGAGCCAATTAGACGAATGTTGTTTTCTTTTTCAATTCATCAACTAGGGAGACCAACCAGAATATTAATTGTCAACTAACTTATCCTGTTGAGATATCGCTGTGTTTCCATTATTTGGATTGTGGATTTTCACAATAGAAATTAGATTGACTTAGATTGACAATTTTTGTGATGGAGCTTAATGTTGATAATCTTCGTCTATTGATTGTACAGTTTGATATGAAAGAGAATGAAGCTCGATTTATCGCTATGTAGAACGCCACGAGACACAAATAAAATGAGTGATGGCACTCTACATATCACGTGTGTGATAATTCTGCGATTGACTGGAGTGAGATGATAAATTCCATTTGCATTCCAAAAATTATTAATTTTTATAGTTATTCGAACAATTTTGCATATCAATTGGAGAATCATTTGACATTGGTCTTGAAATCATTGATCTCAGAATTATCTGTTGTACATAATGCACCTGATCGAATTTTCTTGATACTTAATGGGAAAGTATGAGGACTGCACTGGGAGAAATTCATTGTATTAAATGAACAGGTCGAATTTCTGTCAGTGAATGGTTAATTAATTGTAATTATTCTTCGGGTAGACGATAGGAGACATTTGAACTTCATGAGACCATGTGAAAAGCAAGAACTGTTCGATTTTTCTTTTTTTTTTCAGAGGGAGATAAAATGAACTGTCTTTATCGTCCAATATCTCGAGATCGGCTGAGTGAAAAACCACGATTTTCTTTTCATTTTCAAGGAATTTTCTCGGGCTTTAAAATGAGCCGTGACTGATCAAAATCCCATCGTTGGGCCAGGAGATATTGACTATTCAAGAAACTTCCTCGAATCTAAATTTATTTCCTGGAATTTCTCTGTTATTGTCAATATCTCGAGATCGGCTGAGTGAAATTACATATTTATTCTTTCATTTTTAAGGTATTTTTCCAGGCTTTGAAATGAGCCTTGACTCGTCTAAATCGCATCGTCGAGTCGTGAGATATTGGAGATCTAGTGAGATTCATTTTACCTCACCTTCTCTCATCGTCTTCCACCGAATCATGTGGATCAGTCTCGTTGAAAAATCGATCGACAAACATCAGCAAAGACAAATAGTGATCTTGGAAGTGATTAAGAAATTAGAATATTCCGCTAAGTATTCATAACTATTAGCCTAAAAGGCAAGATGATCGTAGATCAATCATTGAAAAAATCAATTACGAATTCAGAAACTTGAGAAATTCCTAAGACTACGATATGTATGAAAATCAATAAATCCTACACGATAATTATAAACTACTCACTCGTTCTTCCTCTGGATGATCCTCTCGACGGCCTTTCCCAGGTTTTTCCACGTGAATTTCGTGGTTATCTCGAGCAAACGCGAGACAAACTCGTGGTTGATGACTCGATGGGCTAGAACCATCTCAGGACTGTCGTTCAACTCTTCGCACTTTGTTTCCTCGTGAATTCTCTTCAAATGTTCAGACAGAGTCCTCTCCGGGGAGATAACACTGATTTTCTCGTTTATGTTTGGGATTAGGTCCGTAAAGAAGTTCTGGAAATTTGGGAGAGGAATTTTCTGAGGTTATAACTTCGTTTTCACTCACAACACGATCACAAATAATTTTTATGAGTGAAACTCCATGAATTTTTCACGTAAAATTACTTTCAGATTGAATTATTAAGATTAAGAATTGATTTTTTGCCTCTGTTGTACTTTTCTGGCGAATTATTATGGATTGTCTGTTTTTTCGATTCATAAGGGAAATATGAGAGAAATTTCACTCACAACACGATCACGAATAATTTTTATGAGTCAATCTTCATGAATTTTTCGCGTCAAATCACTTTTAGATAGAATTATCGAGATTAAGAATTGATTTTCTGCCTCTATTGTACTTTTCTCACGAATTATCATCAATTATTGTCACTTTTTTCTATTCATAAGGGAAATATGAGAAGAATTTACGAAGTTGGAGCTTCATTTCACTCACAACACGACCACAAATAATTTTTATGAGTGAAATTTATAAACTGTTCACGTAAAAACACACTTCCAGATAGAATTATCGAGTCTAGGGATTGTTTATCTGCATCTACTGTACTTTTCTCACAAGTCGTGACTTTATTCCACTCCACAAAAATGTCAGAAAAAGTCGCGAGGTTAAGGCTTTTTATTTTCACTCGGAACACCTCAAAAATTTCACTGAAGTTTTTCCACACCACTTTCACGCACAATTATCAATTCCTCTAAAATTTTCACTGCATCAGTCCAACAACTCGAACTCCAACCCCTCGAGAACAAACAAGCTTCGCCCACAACTCACAACAACCAACAATACACGTACGAAATGTACCTCGAAAACAGTCATGGGTATCCAATGATGCACCTCCCGAGTGAATTCACAATTTCCCGACGACTGTTCACTAATTCCCTGACTACAAATCGAAGAATCGTGAGATTTTTCCATCGAAGCGGTCGGAGAGTCTGTAACAGACGCCACTGACGACTGGTCGTCCGCCATCTTGATCGGACTGGTGGGAGTCAAAATGGCGTCCAAAACCTCGACTGAGAGGGGACCCGACTTTCTCAGTTCCATATCATCTATTTTGAGGGAAACATCGTCCATATCCGAAACACCAATTTTTTCAGAACTATCGAATATTTCGCCTAGTATTTCATCTAGTATTTGTTGCGTGTCCTGAAAAATTTTCGAAAAAAAGAAAAATCAATTCCAGAGGAACTAATTTTTTTTAATTACATGAAGTCAGTCGCGAAGTAGTAAACCGGGTCAAGTCGATTTTATTGTTGACTTTGGGCCAGTTTTTGATCAATATCTCAGAATCTAAGAGAAATAGCAAAATTTTTCTCATGACCTTTCTTGTAGCCCTCAATAGGCTCTACAAAAGAGAACGAAAAAAAATTTTCTATCTCTTATAAATTCCGAAATATTCGTCAAAAACTAGCCGACAGTCAAAATCGACTTGATCCGGTTTACCGCTTCGTTAGGGACTTTCAAAATTTTTTGGAAATGTGGTGAAGCACCTTCAGAACCCCAGCCCTCAGGATATCGTAATCCTCCTTCATCCTGAAGGATTCCTGGAGGAATTTCTCTCCATCCTGGAAACTCCCACAAACATTGCGGTTCAGGGTGACACTCAGCGCCCCAGTCAGCCCCTTCCTGGGATCTTGATCCTTGCAGAAGGCCAATAAAACCCTCAAATAATTCACATCCTCCTTCCTCTCGACAAATATTTCGCAGAGGAGTTCCTTGGTCAGATTCAGTCGCACGTCCTCAGAGGTGACGTCATCGACCCCCAGGTGCTTCCTCTCCACCGAGTCAGTCCTAAAGGAAATGGTCTTCTTCCTAGGCTTCACCCGTAACAAATTCCCCCAAGACTCCTCATAACTCCGACTAGATCTGTTCCAGAACTCACACTCATACTCGAAGTCATCGTGGAGCCAGGAGTTGATGGAGGGACTGAGTAGCTTCTCGTGGAACCAGAGAGGAATGTTGAGGAAGACAGCCTTAGGGAGGACTCCGCAGAGACTCTCATCCTTCTTCCTGAGGTGTTCGAGAGTCTCCAGAAGTTGGTCCTGAGTCGGACGCTCAAGATCCATCCCATAGACCAAGAACTCTCGCCAGTCCACATGAGGATCGTCTCCAAAAATCTCGTGAACGAGTTCGAAGACATCGGGAGGATCCAATTTCAGCCAGGAAGGTGGCACCAGAGGCTCCTTATCATCTTCTTTTCCGCAGGTGATTAAATCCTGAAGGATGAAGACGAAGGAACGTTGGGGGAGACTTCCGGAGGGTGCAACCCTCTTGAAGATGTCCTTCAACCGCCCCAACTGGGCGATTTTAAAGTTGAGATCGTCGGATTCCTCCGGAGGGAAGCCCTTCAGCAGCTTGAAGATGTCTTCGTTCTTCGATTCCTCGAAATTCATGATGAAACGGTCTCCATCGAACATCATCTCTCCAGAGATTGGTTTGTGATGCTCGATGGCTAGACAGAAAACCCTAGCCATTTCCTTGATACTCTTCAGTTCATTCCGGTAGATCTCGTTGATCCTCTCTTCGATCAGATGAAGTCCGTGTTGGATTGTTGTCAAAAGAAACTCCACGTCCGACTGCCAGGCGGATTCCAAGACATCCAAGAGAGTCTTTACCCTGGTAACTTCATACATTAGAACGGATCTCCATTCCTTCAAGACATTTTCCAATCTTTTTTCATCCTCGAGAGGTTTGGCATCTCCTGTCTTAGTCTGGAGCTTCGAAGCCCTCTTCGAAGGTCTCTTCTTACCGATTTTCTTGGGATTCGGTGGAACCTCCTTCGATTTTTTATCACTCTTCTTCGAGACTGCTGAAGCTGACGAGAAGACATCATCAACGAACGATTGACAGTAACCAACATTTGCCCTGATTATTCTGAAGGCGATTGTGTTATCAACTTCGAAGGGTTTTCCTTCTTTAGCTAGTAGAATACCCTCGATTTCTTTCTGAAGATCGAGTTTGTTGAGCTTCGGTGATGGCGATTTGGTCGACGACTCTAGATCTTCATCTTTCCCATCCTCAACTGGATCATCACCAAGGAAAACCCTCTGAAGCCTGGGCTTCAGAGGTCGATCCCTCGCATCTTTTTTTGTGATCGCTGAGTAGTACCCCTCAACGATGGCTGCGGTATCGACGAATCTGTTCAACTCAATCTGCATCATAGCAAGATAAATATTGACGAGGATGATCAGCTGCCCTGTCGTCCAGTGATCAAGGACGATATCTTCCCTTTTCTCGAGACAATTTCTCCTCTTCCTGTCGCAAATCTCCCAGAGTTGCGTCTGGAAGTCTTTCACCCTGCAATGCAACTCGTACTTCACCTCCTCGTCATTCCTCATGTCCTCAGGGACATCATTAAAAGCCTTCTGGAACTCCCGGAGCAGGTGCTGTCTCTCATCCGCCTGTCCCGCGAACTCAAACATGTACTTCATCATGAAGTCTTTGTAGGGAAGGACTGCAAGGAAGGTGAACCGCTTCAACGAAAGGACCTCCAATAGGCCATTAATGTAGCTGGACTCCAAGCTAATCCAGCAAGAGCCCAGCTCCTCCAGGAGATGCTTGTCCTGAGGAGAATCAGCGTAGGTCCAGGCAGCTTCTCCAGGTAGTAACTCCCTCTCTTCGAGGGCTTCCACTATTGTACGAGTCGACTCGAAGGATTCTAGACTACCTCCGAGTTGCTCCATGGTTTCAACGACCTGTCCAGACCCTCCGCCCTTCCCCATTATGATTCCACATAATTGTTCTAGGGTCTCAAAGTCCCAAAAGGTGTACTGGAACACTGAAGCAAGCCCTTGATCGATGTAAAACCTGTCGACTTCATTTTCCTCTTCAGAACTTCTTGATTTTTCCGTCATCCTGATGAACGACGTCAGGTGGGAATGGCTTGTAGAATCACTTTCTGATGCCAGAGGGTTGGGAACGAGTCGGGAACTTCTGATGAGTCCCTCCCCCTCATTTTCCTCATCATCTTCCTTTGAATCGAGGGAATCCCAAGGCTTCGCCGATAATGCAGATTCCAGCTGTGCCAGCTGCTGGTAGGTACAGGGGTAATCGATGGTAACCCACCCCTGGATGCCCTCCAGGCTCTTCAGATACGCAACAACTGTTTTCGGTATCACTTCCTCTGGGATTCGTTGACCATGACTCAGTAATTGATGGATGCTCTTACCGACGAAGGCTGCGTCGCTCAACAGAGGATGCATATCCTCGTACGGAATCATCCTCGGCGTCTGGGTCTTCTTGTCCGCCTTGCTCTCATCTACCTCACCAACATCAGAAGTCTTCAGGGATTCTCTCGTTCCATTCAACTCCAAATCCACGAATTCGAAATCTTTGACTTCCTTTTTATACTTTTCTAAGCAAAACTTGATGGTGTCTTCGACCTGGACTGTCGCAATCCCCTCACAGCTGAGGAGTTCCCGAAGAAACGGATGAAGAGATGAGTCTGGCAGGCCAAGAAGAGCCACCCGAATGGGATAAGCCGGTAGTGAAGGCGAAGGTCTTGCGTCCAAGGGGTGGAGAACCCCCAGTAATTTATGCACGACGTGTCCCAAGACGTTTTGTCCTAGATCCTGGAACTCGTAGACTTCTGGGAGGAACTCCTCCCAGGGACCACTCAGCTTTAGATACTCCTCCAGATCTCTTTCATCAAGTAATTCTTCTCTTCTTATCAGCCCTGGGATTCCCTCAGCTGCTTCTTCCCCTTCTCCTCCTAGCACTTCGTCCAACTCGAACATTTCTTCAGGATAAAGCACCGCCAGACCCTGGATGAACAAAGCCTTCCACTCCTGCCAGACTTTCCTGGGGACATCCTCATAATTCAAATCTCTGTAGTCTCCGCAGATCATCGCAATACTCGTTAGATCCTCCGTTAGTTGTCTTCCAAGTTCTTGCAGATAATCTTCACTCCTTTGGAGTTTTCTGTTGGCAACCCTGCGGTCCAGTTCCGCCGACCGCTGTCTCTCATCCTCAGTTCCACAGGTGTTCCTCCTGGATTCTTCCAGCCTCCTTTCTTCATCCGCTCGGAAGGATTCCTCCTTCGCCTTCTGCATGAGGCTCTCCACCAATCTCCGGTTGTCAGACATTCGATTTTTGTCCTTGCGGATTTCAATTAACTTCTTCAACATTCGTTTTTCGTATTGAGATTCTCTCAGGACTCCCCGGGCTATCATCTCGTTGAGCTTTCTTTCTTGATCGTCTTCGATCCTCCCCCAGACTGAGGAGAGAACGTCGTTCTGGGACTGACTCTTCGATTCTTCAACAGCTGATGATCGGTTCTTGCGGTGGGACAGGGCCTTGATGTAGTTCTTTGCTGCTGAAGGGTCAATATTCGTCCGTCTATCGTTGAAACTAGAGCTTTTCGCTGGATGATTTCTGCTGAATTCGTCGATTTCGTTATCTTCTTCTAGAGATTTCTCCTTCTTTGGTATTTGAACAGCCGCGGGAAGTCCGTCCGCCATCTTGTCATGCTCTCCCGACGAACGAAATGGCGCGCCAACATGTCTGTATCTATCAATAGCATGCAGGAACTTCTTCCTGTGCCACTCGATGACCCCCGCAGACGTCACCAACGGCGCAGAGAGAGGATGGTCAATAGGTTCAGCTGGTGGTGGCCTCTCCGAGACAATCGTGATGTCGAACTGGGTCGAAGCAGGAATGTACCTCTCCCGCTCCTTCTGCAGAGTGATGAAGTGAAGTCTGTCCTTCATCTCGAGGCAGAGGAAGAGTTTGTAGAAGACGCGGAGTGCGGCTGTCCCTCGCCCGTTGGAGATATCCTCGAGGCAGTCATCGTCGAAGTCAACTCCTATGAACTTCGACCAAGCCCTCAGGTGCTTCAGGTTGACACGGGCCAGTGCTGAGTCCTGGGTCTGGGTTATGGTCTCCAATTGGGTGTCGTTGATTATGTCGTAGTTGTAGAGGAGCTTCGCTAGGAGGGTGCCGTCCTTCGAGTAGTGCCCGAAGACCTCTGGGGTGAGGTCGATTATCACTCCGAGTCTTGATTGCAGCCAGGTTCTTATTATTTCACCCATGGAGATTTGATGGAATATTTCGCGGGGTTAGGGGGAAATTTTGAGGGGCGGGAGCGGTCTGAAGTGAGCTGATGGTCCGGGAAATAATGAACGATTAAAAAATTTGAGTGAGAAGATGACGCATTTCTATTTAAGTGGAAAGATAGCGTAACTAATTTGTTCTTTTTGAAAGAAATCGGGTGAAGTGAGTTGAGGATGATCTGAAGGGGAGAAATATTTTCAGAGATGTTTAAAAGTACGAGGTGGGGGCGCTGCCATCTTGAAAGCCTCTTGCGGAAGAGAGAGGGGGGATAAGCCAATGGCGACTCACACTTTCAACCACCTCGTATTTTTGAATGTTTCTTGAAATTATTTATTCCCTTCAGATCACCCTCAACTCGTTTCATCGGGTTCCAAAAAAATGAACAATTTTTTTAAGCCAACCATCAGACTTTTTCATCCACTTTTTCTTTGGATACTTGGGATATCTTCCTGAATAGATGTTACTTCTTAGTGTTCAATAAATTCTGATTAAGTTGGAGTACAGTTCGGAATACTTTGAGGGTGAATAGTATGGATTAGAAAATAGCAAACATAAATACAAAAATAATTTATTCATCAAAATACTGCGTAATTAGTTAAACAATACATTCAGATGACAAAAAATGTGAAATCTTTCAACTTTTCCTCAACTTTAGGTTTGAATATTTCAATTTTTTCACAGCTTTCGGAGGATTTGACTCATCGACAACAGGATTTTCCTGTTTTTCCGATAGTCTACGTTTTATCAAGTTCATAAAATCTGATTTTCCAGAGCATAATTTCGGTTGAGATGCTAAATCATCAGTTTTCTCATTTCTGATTGACTCCACTTCATGTTCTTCTCCTGAACTCCCTTCTTGATCAGCCCCTACAGTCTCAGAAGTCGATACTTCATCCTCATGCTTCGGCGAGCCCCCAAGAATCTCTTTAATAACAAAAACATTTTTCGAAACTTTTGGTTTACTCTCGCATTTAAAAATAAATTCATTCAGATTGACATCAGTGATCTCTCCCTTCAAGAACATAAGGTGTCTCTTGAGGGCTCGATAAAAGTGCAGTTTATCTTCCATTCTGGGAAAGTTTGAGCATCTGGCACTGCTGGAGGGAACAACCCACACAGCAGTGTTTCCAATCTTCTCAGGCTGCAGTCCAAAATGAAAATCATTTTTCCTGAATTTCTCCCCAAAAACCTGATAAATGCATTTTCCATTGAAAATAGCTATTTTCGGTTTGAAGCGTTTCATCTTCTCCACGACGACATCACATCCCTTCCTGATTTCTGCTGTCGTTAAATCTGCTGACGATCGTGTCGCCCTCTCAACAATATTGGTCAGACCTATTTTGTGCTGAAGGAGATTGCAGTCTTCCTCGAAATTTATGAACCTGGGGACTAGTTCTGACGCGTGCAGAAGTTTGTAGAAGTGATTCCCCGGACCTGCGTAATATCTACCCTTGTGAGCTGCCATCAGGCTCGGGTTTATTCCCAGGAAGACTAGGTCTAGGTCCGGTTCTAGGTAGTCCTGAAGAGTGTTTTTCTTCACTTCTTCCTCGGTCAAACCGTTGAATCGATTTTGTTTTCGTTTTTCCATTCTTTCGAATGATTTTGTCAATCTGAGGAAGAGAAAATTTTATTCTTTGCTGAAATAAAATATTTAAGAGGCCTCGGGAGTCAGAAAAACTAGGGAAATGCGGGGAACAATTGGCGACATTAATTCTCAGCCGAAAGGGAATGAAAAAATCTGGAGAATAGCTTAAAAAATTTGTTCATTTTCCAGGAACTGGATGAAACGAGTTGGAGGTGATCTGAAGAGGATAAATAATTTTAATGAACGTTCAAAAATACGAGGTGGTTGACCAGTGTGAACGCCGCCATCTTGCTGAACCCCCTCCCCCTGCCGGAAGGGGTTTCAAAGATGGCGACGTACCCACCTCGAATTTTCAAACATTTCTTGAAGTCATTTTGCCTCTTCAAATCACCCTCAATTGACTGCAACCGGTTTTTACCAAATGAACAAATTTTTTGAGACATTTTCCTGATTTTTCCATCCTCTTTTTGTCGAGAATTCGTGGCCCACAGTTTCTCCCACATTTCAGTAGTTTTTTGTAGAACTTTTTTTCTTTTTTTCATATCAATATTTTTTAATAATTTGAAAAAACTGGATTTTGCATGTCAATATTCAGAAAGTAGACGAAGAAATTGCCTATTTTCGTACTGATCCCGTGGCCATATCTCATAAAAAATCCATAAAATCTCTAAATACTTCACCTACTCCTCAAAACTCGTGAGCACTCATCAAATCCACTCGTTTTTCCACCGAAATTTGGTCTCAAAAATCTTATTATCATTCCCGACTACTTTTCATAGTTAATGAACGGATTGAAATCACGAAAATTCGCTCGCGTCAGGTAAACACTCTCTCCAGGTATGATCAGCTGGCGACAAACCGCGCAATGTGTGGCTAGTTAACATTGAATTCTACCTTATCGACTGAAAAACCACGGGGTGGCCAGTGGGTACTGCCCCCTTCAACTACATAACCCGACTCGTCCGTGATTGAACCGAATTCCAGCGTTTCAATATGAAATTCCCGGGTTGCATTGTTCACCGATGCCTTCGAAATAATTCAATGTTGGCGTACAAACATTGACAACCGGGGAAATTTCATACGTTCTCGATCAATCTTTAAAAAATTGAAAAATTTTGAAAATGAAAAAAAATGAAAAAATTTTAAAAATTAGAAAAAAAATGAAAAATTTGAAAAATGCAAAAATTCGAAAATTTCAAAAATAAAAATAAAATTTCAAAACTCAAAAATTTGATCAATTTTGTGTATTTTATAAAAATTTAAACGTTACAGGCAGTTTCTGCATTTAGATCTCCTAAAAGAAATTTTCAAAAATTCGTAACTTCTCATTTTTATCATTCCGCGGAATAAAAAAATGCGTTCAATATTTTTCCTCAATTTTTTTACAACAAGTGCCTTGAGACGACTGAATGATCAAGCATAATATGGCCTCAGCCGGTGAATTATTAATTTAATTTAATTTAACTGCTGTCTAAGGGAGAAAAATTCGTTCGAACGAATTGTGTTTCCAGAGACATGTCACATTTTCATTTTTTGAAACCGATATAATCTAATAGCAGACTTTGAGCTCCCAAACTTCATATGACGAGCACATGGAAAACAAAACTTTTCTGAGACATATCACATTTTCAAATTTTGAAAGGTCTTCACAAAAATTTCGTTGTTTCCCTTAGATTCGGAGATATTCCGCGAAAAATCAAAACTTTTTGCTCCCTATCTTATTATATTGCATAATTACGCAAAAAATAAATAGATTAATAAATAATTATCAAAAACATTGAATTATCACTCTAGAACTAGTGCTTCTGGTTCCCCAAATAATCCAAAATTATTATGTAAAGTTCTTGTTATCCTTTGTGGACAGAGCCCCAAACTTTTTACGCCCACTTACCACTGCCAATTAATTCTATGGCCCAGTGATAACAGAGTCCTCTCTGAAGCACGTCCCGGCCGTTTGATTCAGCACTCCCTCCCTTCGGAGGCTTTCTAAAACTGATCATAAAACCTAGGGTTGCACCTGAATGGCTACCCATAAACCATGCGATAACCGGTGACTGAAAAACCATTAACCATCTGCTATCTTCCTCCTGCCCCCTATTCTAATCTTGTAATCCCGAGCTCCTCAGAGGAGAAATCCTCGAATTGCCAACAATCTCCACCTGTTGAGGAGCATTCTTCGAGGATCTTTTTCTCACAGACGAAAATACAGTGCAGGAGGGGAGGAATAATGAGGGATTTAATTCTTTACTTCTTATTTTTTATTATTCTAGTAAATAAAAGAATATGCATTTCCCCTTAAATTTGTTATTTTATTTGTTATCTTTTGTGTTACATTTTTACGAAATTTAAATAACAGCTGCACTTGAATTTTCATTGCTGTGTAATCTCAAAATTTTTTATCGTTAAAAATTTGAGCTCTTTTTACTTTAAATTTCCGTTGAGGAGAAAATACAATGCAGGGGGGTAAGTAATGAGGAGTTCAATTGCGTGAAGAATGCCCACAGGTGCATTTCTGCTCACCAGATAACACGATCTCACTTCCAAGTTCGAGGGAGTATGTATATTCTCCCCTAGAGCCCAAAGTTTCAACCGACTGTTTACACTTCTCCCATACAACAGTCCAACAACTTCATAATTTGGTACTTTGTCAGCTCGTGAAAATTCCGTTTCCCCGGCTTTGGAGATTTCTATCGAAGAGGTGTAACTTCCCAAATTTTTCATTTTTTGTTCAACATTTTTGTGGCGGTTAGGTGTATAGAGACACAATAATAATTCGTGGTTGTGGAATGAAGACGTTTGTATTTAGATTTAAAGAGGTGTGTTTACATCGTGTTTCGGTGTCGGACTGAATCGGACTGAACTGACTGACTGACTGAGATTTTTGTCGGGGAACGTGCGAGTTTAAATACCTTCTGTTATGGAAAGTTCGGGAATCGTCCAGAAATCTCGCGAGGGACAAGACCGAATGATGCCCGTCTCGAATATGATGGTATAGAAAATTCAAGACGCGTTACCTAAATTTCGAAATAATAATACGTTTGGGGCTCGCGCCACAATTTTTTTTAATAACATGTTTTTTTATTTAATTTTTCAATCAATCCGCAAGGTTGAGATCAATTTAGGCTTTGCTGTCATCTTTTGCGGCTGAATATGAGATTTCGCCCCAAATTATTTCCAATCGAGAAAAATATGAGAGGGGGCGGTTAAGATTAGAGTGAATTAATCACAGTCGCGAGACTAGTACGTAGATTGGAGCCAATCAATTTGCTGTCGAGTCGCGCTCATGCCCCGTTTCGTGGGGGAGAGGAGGAACCGCCGCTCGAGCGGAGGACGCGCTGCCCTATCATTCACCAAGATGTACGGCTTGGAGATCCCGATATCGCGTTTGCAATGTGTCACCGGCTCGTCTGCGCGCCAATTAAACAGGGGGCCCTGTCGTGCTGGTGAAACTCGGCTCATTTCATCAGTTGGGCAATTAAAATCATTTTCAGGGGTGTTTTGTTAAAACGTAAAAATTACGTTTCGAAACGTAATCCGCGAGCGAAGTAAAATTCAATGAAAAGTGTGAGTCGGAACTGAAATTGTACGAATCGCCACGTATATTCTACGACTTGTTCCGTAAAAATTAACTGTTAAAAATTTCCGACTCAAAATTATGACATATGTGTAGGAAGTAATTTACGTCATACGGTATTATAAATTTATCATACTTTTTGGGTCTCATACCATCTGAGAAAATTCACATACCAGTATAGGAATTTTCATATACACGTCCTGTAAAACTATATCTTGAGTATTATTATAATTTTCTGATACCGTATTATAATCATCCTATATATGTGGGGTACCATTGCTCTGAGATAAGATGAAAAAATATTAATTTTTCAGTTAAGCATTCTTCTCAACAAATACAATTTATGTTTATTGTTTACTACTCTCGGAATCCTACCTGTCAAACCTATAAACCGAAATTAAATTTTTTTATCGCAGAGGGGTTTGAACCTAGGACCTACGGACTCGCAACCTAACGCGTTACCAGGGAGCTATCACGCAGTTCGTATTGATGATGGTTCGCATCGTCTATATGAATTATAACCTCATGTTCTCGATCAACCACGATTTTGTATGAATTAATGACAGTTTCTCATTCTAATTGTTGAATGATTTCATACCAAAATGGCCTTTGGGATAATTCTACTATTATTCTTCAGAGACTNTAAACCGAAATTAAATTTTTTTATCGCAGAGGGGTTTGAACCTAGGACCTACGGACTCGCAACCTAACGCGTTACCAGGGAGCTATCACGCAGTTCGTATTGATGATGGTTCGCATCGTCTATATGAATTATAACCTCATGTTCTCGATCAACCACGATTTTGTATGAATTAATGACAGTTTCTCATTCTACGGAACGTAGAAATAACTCACCAGCTTCATAAAAATTGTTGAACGTTCAAGAATTTTTTATTTTCGAGGCATAAGTCGGCAAGTTTCTGGAAGTTTTTCCTTCTTCGGGAAAAATTACGTAACAATTTCGTACTTTGTTCGGTGATGAATCTGAAAATTCACTGAACGTTTCAGATTTCTTCTCTTCCGTTCCTATAAAAATTTCCGGAAAACGATTCCCCATTGCGGATTGCGTGAATTGTTCCGTAATTTTTACTTAATATTTCTCTCCGTGTAAACAACGAGATTCTAAGCCCGACAACTCGAAAATTCCTTCAGAGTCCCATGTCAAATCCAATTGGTGCACAAGTTTGTCGTGTCGTAAGGAGCGTCACCGCATGGTTGAACTCCGTTGAACCACCCCCGTTCCGTGTTAGCCGTCGTTCACAAAGGTGTGATTAATGACAGTACCCGGAGACATAAGGGGTACACAGTTTATTGGAAACAGGCCATCGATGATGCATCGGTATTGTCGCGTGGCCCGACGGCGAAATCCCGCTCTCCCCCGAGCCTCTCAACTCCAGAGCTCAACTCCACAGTTTCGCGCCTTGACGAGCGATAGAAATGTTAATAAGATCAAACTGCCGACGTACGACGTACACCCTGTCGATATTCTCCGGATAGCACGCCCAACTACTCCTCATTTATTACCTCGGGCGATTGACAACGATTAATGGTTCACATCAAATCTTGTTACTATCTTCATCCATAGTTTCCATTGAATTCACACCTAAAACTAATATCTTACCTCCACAGTTGAACAACTAATGACGGAAACTGAAATATTTTGGCCTTTTTTGAAACGCTTGAGTCCCAAATTGGGACATCAAGGATATCCAAGTACACTGTTAGACGAAAAATGACATTTCATGGACAGTTGACTACTAATTTTCAGGACAGTGACACTGAATGCGATTTAGGGGGAAACAATTATTTTTTTATTTTTTACCGTCTACGTTTTATTGCATTGAATGAGATTTCGAATGACTCTTGTTTTGAACGCCAAAAAAACAAGACTGTGGATTCTTCTGCAGAAATCCCTCAGTTTGAATTTTCCAAATTTTTATATCCCATTTTTTTAATAAAAAGAGAAGAAAAATTGAATGGAAAATTCATGTAGACGAATTTCTACAAAAAATGTTGCAACACAAAAAATTGTATAGAAAAATAAAAGTCTACTGATTGTTTCTATAAAATAGTTTGAACATTGTCTGTAAAAAAACACCCAGTCCACGTGTTGTTTTTCATCCTGAAAAAAACATGCAATTCCCGATGAATTAATAATTATGATTTTTCTATACAACTTATTCCATTGGATTATTTTCTATAGGAATCCCTCAGTTTGAATTTTCCAAATTTTTATATTCCATTTTTTTAATAAAAAGAGAAGAAAAATTGAATGGAAAATTCATGTAGACCGATTTGTACAAAAAATGTTGCAACACAAAAAATTATATAGAAAAATAAAAGTCTACTGATTTTTTCTATAAAATTTTCTATAAAAAAACACTCAGTACACATTTTTTTAATCATCACCATAAACTTCTGAACCTCCACGTGTTGTTTTTCATCCTGAAAAAAAATTGCAATTCCCGATGAATTAATGATTCTGTGCATAAAAATTATGATGAGCCTGTACGACAAGGCAAGTGCAGCGAAAACGCGGCAAGTGCATATGACAGCCTGAAGATTATTTACATTAGCCACACCTTCGCCAACATGACAGTATTTACCCCAGTGAATATCTGTGTGTGGCATCATCAGGGCGGGAGAGTACGTTAAACCGCGGAAAGTAGAGACAGAATGAGAAAGGATTGAATGGGCATCCCCTTAATGTCAGGCCAGTGGTACACACATACGTATGTGCGGCCGATGTTACTGGTGATGTTGGTACACACGTCGTCCAAATTTCCACAGGCAGTCGCCTTGCACGTCACATACTCCACATACCTTATGCACATCCCGTATTGTAGAGTATACCCCCTGCATCGGATGAAAATACCAAAAATTTTTCCATTCTTTGATGCAAAAGAAACGGGAGAATGCGAAGGAAAGGAGGAATTTTCAGCCGATCGTGTGTCGAATTTGTTATCTTACGCAATGGTTTTTTCTTCAGATGAAAAATTTAATCTTTACTTCTCTAAAAGGCGTCGGGAGTCGGAAAATTGAAGTTTCAGTCAAAAGCCGATGAAAAAATCGGAAGGATAGTCTGACAAATTTTTTTTTTTTTTAGGAACTGGATAAATAATTTTAAGAAGTGTTCGCAAATGTGAGATGGTTGACAGGTGTGACCGCCGCCATCTTGGATATCCGCTCCCTCGCCGGAGGAGGCTTCCAAAATGGCGGTGCTCCCATCTCGCCTTTTCAAACACTCCTTAAAATTATTTATCATCATCAGATGACTCTCAACTCACTTTACCTCGTTTCTATCGAGTGAACAAATTTTTTGAGCCACCATTCATATTTTTCCGGCTCTTTTTCGCTGAGAATTCACGGCGCAACATTTTCATGTATCCCGCGGCCTCTTAATAAGACTTTTCATCGGATTGGAAATACCTAAGAATTTCCATTCTTTGATGAAAAATTCAGCGGATAGTTTGAAAAATGTATTTTCTTAATAACTGGATGAGTCGAGTTGGAGATGATCCAAATAGTGTCAATTTTTTCAAGAAATGTTCAAAGATGTGAGATGGCGCACAGTTGTGGGCGCTGACATCTTGGATATCGCGCCCTCTGCCGGCTTAAAAAATGGCGGGGCTCCCACCTCGGCTTTTCAAACACTCCTTAAAATTATTTATCATCATCAAATAACTCTCAACTCACTTTATCTCGTTTCTATCGAGTGAACAAATTTTTTGAGCCACCATTCATATTTTTCCGGCTCTTTTTCGCTGAGAATTCACGGCGCAACCCCCGGGCCCCACGACCCTTGCCCTCGTTGTTTGACCCTCACGACGAATGACCCCAGAAAGATGATGGATCTCAGGTACTGAACAATTACTCCCTACCTTGTTACACGTTATTGCATTTTGTTTCAATTCCACCGGACAGAGACAGAGATGAGGCATCAGAGGGTGGGGGGATGGAAAATACAGAGTGCAGTGGTAGAAGCCGGTGGGGAATTCGCTTCGAATAAATAATGACTCAACTGTACGGCAGAAACCCAGCGAGCTCCTATTATTTATGATATTAGATTACGCTATATCACTGCCTTCATAATTAATTGCCAACGCCCACGTTTTGAAGCGCCGTTAACTGTGAAATGCTAATGAACAGATTTCGTTACCGGCGTTCAATTCCAAATTCACTCTTTTCACCACCTGTCCCGCGCAGTTTTTACTCTCACCGGGACTTGACGTGTTTACCGATAAAAAATTACAGAGAATCATCGAGATTACAGCAATTTTATTTTTTTTTTCTTCAACTTTTGTTCAATGATTTTGGACGGGAGTTGCGGGGAAAATGTTCGTTTTGTTTCAGAAAAAAATTCCAATTCTCTCGCATCACTGTCTCGTAATCTTTTCCCTTTCGCATTCCCCTCCTGCTATCTTTTTTTTTCTCTCCCTCCACCTGCACTTTTAATTAAATAATGCGATTCAGGAACGTGCCCGACATACCCAGCAATTCGTTTTCCCCATCGTCCTCTTCTCTTTGACGCTAATTCACTTCCCCTTTTTGTACAGTTTCAGTTATTTCTCTCGCTTATTTTTTTTTTACTATTCCTGGGACGTACAACGCAATATTCGGGAATCCTATTCTCACCTGATTTATCGCGCTTTTTTTATTTGGGAATTTTTTATTGTTGTGCAATTATTTATGTCAATTTATGTTTAAATTCGGAAGTAAACATTGTAAATTGGGTTCTTTAATTGAGTAAAATTAATTTATTAATTCGTTAATTCAATAAATTAATCATTTTTATTTTATTTAACAATCCGAGGATTTAAAAAATTTTGTTTAGACAATTAATTTAAAGGATTTTTTTATAAAAAAAATTGTAGGTGACATCCCTATTATTTTTTCTGCTATTTAATTATTGAAATAGGAAATGTAATTAAATAATTTATTTATTAATTTATTAATTCAATAAATTAATCTATTTTGTTATTTAAAAAAACGAGAATTTCAAAAATTTTGTTTAAACAATTAATTTTGTTTAAACAAGAAATAAAAAATAAAATTAATTAATTGATCAATTTTTATTAAAAAAAAAAAGAGTTTCAAGAATTATGTTTAAACAATTGATTTTCTCATTAAAAAATCGTAGCAAAAATCCCTATTGTTATGTTCTCGATGAACCTTCCCACTGTTTGAAGAGGCAACTATTAAACCGAAGACGTGATGCCCGAAAGTGAGGTTGAAAGTCGCAATAACACACTTTGACCACCAATAAAGACTCCGAAAGTAGACGGAGTACACACAGAACTCTTGCTCTTTTCATCCCCCCCTCCCCCTAGCGCCGCAAAAATTCTATTTGCACGGACGTCTGATTGGAACGGCCGTTCCTCTCGCAATTACCCAGCTCTTTTTTCCTCCTCTCTTCATCCTTCGGTCTTTCTTGAAAAGTTTTTATCCACAAACAGCTCTTTTGTTTTCAGAATCCACTCACTCTCGCTTCAGGGAGAAAATGTTTGATGAAAAAAATTGAGATTGGCGAAACGCGGCAGGAGGAATAACGCATTAAGTTATTAATTTCATGTGATTAAAACATTTGTATTGACACTCGTGGCCCTTATCCTGACCGTTGTGACCCTTATGAGCCTGAATTTACCCCGTGTGACCCTTAATCTGACCCTCGTGATCCTCATTCTGACCCTTACTATACCCCCCATGACCTTTATTTTCACCCCTCATTTCTGACCTTTAATTTTGAAGTCTTAATTTCGAGTACCAAATTTCCATCACCAAAAGTCGATTTGGATTTTTCAAATATAGAGACCCCTATTTTGATCCTTGTGACCCACATATTCGACCGCCCATGACCCTTATTTAGACCTTTGTGATCCTTATTTAGGCCCTTAATCTGACCCTTGTTACCCTTATTTAACCTTCACGACCCTTATTTGACCCTCATAACCTTTATTTGACCCTCACGACCCTTATTCTGACCCTCACGCCCCTTAATCTGACCTTTGTGGCCCTTATTCTGACCCTCACGTCCGTTAATCTGACCTTTGTGGCCCTTAATTTGACCCTCACGCCCCTTAATCTGACCTTTGTGGCCCTTATTCTGACCCTCACGTCCGTTAATCTGACCTTTGTGGCCCTTAATTTGACCCTCACGCCCCTTAATCTGACCTTTGTGGCCCTTATTCTGACCCTCACGTCCGTTAATCTGACCTTTGTGGCCCTTAATTTGACCCTCACGCCCCTTAATCTGACCTTTGTGGCCCTTATTCTGACCCTCACGACCCTTAATCTGACCGTCGTAGCCCTTATGACCCTTAAACTAACCCTTGTGGCCCTTAATCCGACGCTCACGATCCTAATTGCGACCCTCGTGACCCTTGCTCTGACCTTCAAGTCGATTTGGATTTTTATAATACAGAGAGAAATGCATAAATTCCCTAATATTCAACAAAAAAAATTGTTCAAGTGAATATAAAAAATCGAAATAATCTTTTGCACCCAAATATCGCGAAACCCCTTTACAACTCAAAATATGACGTTCCCCTCGTCATAATAAACAATTGTCATCATCAACTGGTCCACCCCGAAGACGCCCCGAGAGCGCGTTATCCCCACATCCCCGAGATGAAGAAAAGTGTTGGGGAAACATTGGGTTTCATGTGTTCACGTTTATTTGGAAAGAGACAAATAAAAAATGAGGGCATACAGCGGAATGGAAGCAAATGGGAAGAGGAGTATGTATGAGGAAACCCATTTTTTTCATCCTCACCGAGAGCCGTCGGGGAGTGGGTCTGAGGCGCGTCGGCGCGACACCATAAAACCTTGTGCATTGAGCCACAACTCGGCCAGTGAGCGTTGCGTCCCCGGTGCGAGAATGCCGGCTGCACATCGACTCTCCGAACGGCCATCCACGTGGTCGTCCACCCCTCGTGCATAAACAACAACAAAAAAAATTCACAAAAAAAAAGAAATAAAAAATCAAGTGCAAGCGTTAACCTTGGAAATTTACAAAAAAAGGGTAAATATTTTTTCCAACAATGAAATCTTCGCTCTTTCCTCGCACATTTCAACAGCAATGTCCCATTAATTTTGCATTTATCCAAGATTTTTGCATAATTTGATTAAAAAAAAAATTATTCCCACAGAATTTCACAACTCCTCTCCCGCCCTGAATAATTTATAAGAAACTCCTGGTGATTGCACTCGTTTCTTGGTGTCACGTTCGACAATTTCCCTAAAAATAGAAGAAACTCCCCGAGGAAACTTCTTGCAATTCATGTAAATAAATTTCCAAACTGACGGAACAACTCTCCCTCCCCATTCTTTCATTCCAGTTCTGCGTCGAGAGAATGCAAAGATCGAGAGTGGATTGGTGTCTCAGCCGCGAGAGATGATAGACAGATAGTGCATGGGAAAAAGAAGAGGTGAAAATTATTGAGGGATTTTAAAAGTGAATGAAATCGTAAGATATCGCGAGATATGTCCTGCGAGAAAGCGTCGAAACGCCTGCGGTGCATCATCGCGAAGGCGAGGAGACTGGGCCTGACGGAGTGGGAGTTGGCTGATTTATCAGGTGTCAAGAGAATCACGTCGTCAAGCACAAGTCCAAGCACTTGGTCGTTAGTTGCAGTGATGATTGGATTAATTATTGGAGGAACTTTGGTACTGGCTACTATCTGCAATCCTTGTGGTAGACACATTCATCATGTTCACAGGGGCACTTAATCCTGATGGAATACTGAAGGTAAATATTATTCATGAATACATATTTTTTTTGCCACCGTGACCCTTACGACCCTGGAATTCCCCCATATGGCCCCTTATGACCCTTATATAGACCCTTGCAACCCTTCATCTGGCCCTTGGGGCCCTTAATCTGAGCCTCGTGACCCTCATGACTATTATATTAACCCTTGTGAACCTTAGTTACAGACCCTTCATTTCTGACCCTTAATCCGACCCTTAATCCGACCCTTGTGATTATTAATCTCACCGTTATAACCCTTGTGATACTTCACCTGACTCTAGCGACCCTTAATCTGATCTTCGCGACCCTTATTCTGACCCTCATAACCCTTATGACTGTTATTTTGACCCTTGTGAACCTCAATATGACCCATATGACCTATAATATGACCCTTGTGATCATTAATCTCACCATTATAACCCTTCTGCCCTTCACCTGACCCTTGTAACCCTTAACCTGACCCTTGCAAGCTTTATTCTGACCCTCATAACCCTCATGACTGTAACTTATGACCCTTAATCTGATCCTTGTGATCCTTATTCTGACCCTCGTAACCCTTATGACTGTTATTTTGACCCTTGTGAACCTTAAATGACCCTTATGACCCTTATAACCCTTATTTCGACCCTTAATTTTGGAGTCTTAATTTTACACACCAAAATGTTCATCACCAGAAGTCGATTTGGATTTTCGTAATATAGAGGTATTTTTTACTAAATTATTTGTGCGTAAAAAATACAGGAAATGCTTTGAATGAAGTTTCTTTGAGTGAAATAAATCCTTCTTTGTAATTAATTACTCCGTGTAATTAAAATATTCTTAAATGGTAAATAGTTTATGGTAATGAGTTGCGACAAAATTATTTTTTAAATTATCCTTAAAGTTTCAAATATAGAGTTTTGAGAAATATATCCTGAATCATTCACAAATATTATTGATGGCAGATAATTTTTTGAGGAAATTCCCTTGAAAATCGAGGCGAAGGAATAATTTATGTGCATTGAATAAACTTTCTATGAATAAAAAAATTCGTTCATTTTGATTTAAAGAATGAATTATTCATTCTTTCTTCATTCATTTCTTCATTCATTCATTTCTTCAACGGAAATATTTTTGACATGAACATAAACTTAAAAAATTTGAAAAACATCGGTCTAAGCATAATCGAGAGAGATCATTTAATTACTTTATTACTTCCTCAACTTTCCCAATATAGAAATCAAAGTGCAAACTGAGGTCATGGTCGATGTTACAGTCCGTTAGACGTAGCAGCGGGTAATGACGCGTTACCATAGTCCCTTTTGGCGAAAGCTCCTCCAGTGGTTCCTTTATATACAAGCCCTTGTTTCACCGTGAGAAACTCGCGTTGGATTCACCATCCCCTCAGCCAAATTAATCCCCCCCCCCCCCCCACTGGCAAGACTGTTTTCAACAGTTGAACGCTTAGCTTTTAATTTTCATTCTGAAACTTTTTCTCTCGCCTCTTCAATTAATTTCTCGATTTATTATTTCAGAGAGTGGATGGATGCGAGAGGAATTCATCATCAATTAATTCAGAATGATTTCTAATGAAACAGTGTATTATTCGCAATAAAGTATTTGTTAAGAATAAAAATGAAGGTGATAAGAAAAAATTTTGGGTTATTTTTTGAAATGATCGTCAGAGGTTCTAGTCAGTGGCAAACGCATGAAAAAATTTAATAAAAACCTTGCGAAAAATTTTATTTGGTTATAGAACAATTTTTACGGATGAAAAATTTTCTATACAACTTGTTCTGATGGAATTTTTTAAATGAATTTTACAATTTTTTTGTCCTCTGATTTTACAATGAGAGAAATTTCCATAGAAAAATAAAAAAATACTGATTTTTTTCTATGAAATATTTCTCTAAAATAATGCAACTTCCCATTCCTTTTTCAACAGATATTTGTTTACAGAAAAAAAATCCTCTGAAAGTAGCTCTACCCTATTAATTTTTTTAGTTTCTAATATTTTCAGTTTTCGAATTTTTCAACTAAATAGCGTAGAAAAAATATAAAAAAATTCATACCCAGTCAGTATGATCTAAATTAAATTTCGCAAAATATTGATATTTTTTCAAACATTTACCTCTCATAAATAAATAATAAATCTTGTTTGGAAAATGGTGGATTATTTTTTACGTCAAAAAAATTCTAGATTTTTTCACATTTAATGAAAAAAAAAATCAGATTTTAATCTTTGATTGCAATGGAAATGTTGATTTTCACATAAGACACTGGGTTAAATCCTGATTTTTAAACCTTTCTTCTTTGAAAAACCAAAACGATAATTAAATTGAGAAAAAAATTAGAATTCCGAGTCAAATCGAGTTTTCTGCAATTTTTTGCAGTTTTCAATAATCTTTGAATTTACCGTAAGGGTAGAGCAATTTAAAATTTGTTCACGCGTGTAGTCGCAAGTGTTGTACTCATGCCTCCTTGTTCGGTCCACGGATGTTTGGCCAGAGGAATTTAAGCTCTGGATCGATCCTCACTCCTTCATCAGGCTCATTGCAAAAGCAGCGAAGGTGTATCGTGGCCCGGTGGAACGTCTGGCCGCATATAGGAAGTTGTGCATTGCTTTGGCGCGGCCACGTGAACCGAATTGTCATTATACCGTATAGTGCAGGGAGCGTTGAGCGTCACGCGACGGAATAATAGCCGTTTGTATATCGGTCCAAGCGAAACGGTCGTTGAAATTGCTGGCCTCGTGCCTTCCGCTCTCCCCCTTTATGCACCTTAACATTGGACTGTGGAATAATGGTTCGTCCCTGAGTCGATGACCCGACTGTATTTTCCGTCATTCAGAATTATCAAGAAGAAGCCGAAAAATGATGATATCAAATAAAATAGAGGGTTACGTCAACCCACATATGACCACCATGATCCTTATTCTGACCCTTGTGACCCTTATTTAGACCCTTGTTACCCTTATTTGGGCCCTTAATCTGACCCTTAATCTAACCCCTTCATGTGACTCTTGTGATCCTTATTTCGACCCTTAATCTGACTCTTGTGACCTTTAATCTGATCCTTGTTACCCTTATTTAGGCACTTAATCTGACTCTTGTGAACCTTAATCTGACTCTTGTGATCCTTATTTCGACCCTTAATCTGACCCTTGTGGCCCTTAATCCGACCCTTGTTAACTCTCTTTGGACCCTCCATCTGATCCTTGTGGCCCTTAATCGGACCCATATGACCCTTCATATGACTCTTGTGATCCTTATTTGGATTCTTAATCTGACACTTGTGATCCTTAATCTAACCATCGTGACCCCTCATTCAGACCCTCGTGACCTTTAATCTGAGCCCTTGTGACCCTTAATCTGCGCCCTAGTGACCCTTAATCTAACCCTCGTGACCCTTATTCTGATCCTCATGACCCTTATTCCGACCCCCGTAATCCTTATCCTAGCCTTTATTACCCTCACTTGGCCCTTGAGACCCTTAATCTTGAAATCTCAATTTCCACTATCAAATTTTCATCACCAGAAGTCGATGTGAATTTTTATAATATAGAAAGAAATGATAATAATATTTTTCCCAAAAAACTTGTAAACATCCTCTGGCTGTCTCCAGGATTAATTTCATCAAATAATAACACAATTCCCTAAAAACCAAGCATTCCCCCAAGAAATAATTCTCCCAAAAAAAATCCCAAACACCGTTCAATGAAAAAATCTCTGTTTACCCAGAACACACGTTTGTCCCCTCGCGAATATAATTCTTTCTAAACGTACAATAGCTCTCCGAGACACGATAAAATGTAATCCACGGAAAATCGCCGGTATTACCCCCCCCCCCGGTTTTATACCTGACACTCGTAAATTGCTTGCGCTTTCTCGCTACTTAAGTAATGAGCCAAAGTTTCCCGCCCTGTCGGGAGGCTGCACCGATACTGTAACACCCACATCCTCCGCAGCACTAACTCCACTTACGCAAATTAAAGGGATCGAGAAACAATGCGAGGTAAAGAGTGGAAGGAAAAAAAGAGGGGAAAAAGTACTCGGGAGTACTTGAGTGATGAGGGTGAATAGAGTAGGTGTAGTCAATCGGCGTTGGCGAGCACCCAGATACCCTCATATTCCTTTTTCACTCTCAAATGTGAGGAGATTGCACGCTAATGCCCGAGCATGAACATGTTTCACTTTATTTTTTTACATTTTTCCGATGGCATTATTCATTCAGTAATGAGGATTTTCTTCAATTTTTCACAGCAATCCGCGCATTTTATTTTTCAATTTTTTTTTTCCATTTTTTTTATCACTCCTAATTCCCTCTTCACATGCACATATTTCCAGTACAATGAACCTGGCCAATTAGCAATGGCCAATTGGAGCATGAGTAACGAATCGTGCGTGCTAATTCGTGATAGGAGTCTGCGAAAAACAATTGCAGAACGTGAATGAACTTCTCGGGAGATGAATACTGCTGGAAAAATTACGCCGGAAATTTCAGGTAAATTATTTGGAAATTTTTAATTTAGTTTAGTTTAAATTAAATTAATTTGATTAATTTTTGGTTTAACTTAATTTTAATTTTTCTTAGAGGGCTATGACCCTTAGGCGGGTCGTCACCTCACATATGACCCCCGTGACCCTTATTTAGACCCTTGCGACCCTTCATCGGACCCTTGTGAACCTTATTTACTGACCCTTTATTTCTGACCTTCGTCACCCTTATTTTGATCTTCATCGCCCTTATTTGACCCTTGTCACCCTCAATTTTGGAACTATGGACCGTCAAAAGACTATTTTTTTTTAATATTAAAAAGAAATAACAATAATAATTCAAATTCACGACATTGAGAACTCAAGTTGAGCTACTGCTTCAATTTCATAAAAGTTGAGATTGCGAATGCATTCTCAATTTGGAAAGTGATACCAGAAGACAAATTTCTCGCCAACTTGTTTTCCCGAATGAGAGATAGGAGGCGATAAAATTGGTGAGAAGAGTGTCGTTTAACGGCCAATTACCCGGATTATAATTCCCGTAAAATGCCTCCATCGTATTTTCATTATCGTTCCCGTGAGTGCTACGAAATTGTCCGAACCGCGTATAACACAGACCCCTCATTCCACCCAATCTGCACTAGTCGTCACTAATGAGAAAAGTTTCACACGAAAATTTTGGCGTAAATACGAAAGGTATTTGTGCCCTTGTCCACAAACGGGACAATTTTTTTCGTGTTATCAAACTATTCGATCGATAAAAATATTAGAAAACATTCCGGGTTTTTATATTTTTTAAAATGAAAAACTTCTTTACTTGAAATGATAAGTAAAATTCGTAAATTTTTTTCAATTAAAAATTCAGATGGAGAATTTCATCATTTTTTTACGTGAATAACTAGCTCGCTCCGCTCGCCAACCCCCATAATCCTTATTCTAACCCTCATGACCCTTACGACCCTTATTCTAACCCTCGTGACCTTATTCTCACGCTCGTGACTCATATTTTAACTCTCGTGACCCTGATTCTGCACCGCGTGAAACATATGACCCTTATTCTGACCCTCACGGCCATTATTTTGACCGTTGCGACCCTTATTCTAACCCTCGTGACCTTATTCTCACGCTCGTGACTCTTATTTTAATCCTTGTGACCCTTCTTCTGACCTTTATGACCCTGATTCTGCACCCCGTGACCCCTATGACCCTTATTCTGACCCTCACGGCCATTATTTTGACCCTTGCGACCCTTATCGTAACGCCTGTGACCCTTACATTACCCCTGTAACCCTTAATTCGACCCTTGCGACCCTTATTCTAACCCTGGTGACCTTGTGATCCTTAATTGCAGTCTCAATTTCGAATACCGAATTTTTATCACCAGAAATCGATTTGGATTTTTAATATAGCGATTTTTTATATAAAAATTCATGTTGAAGAATTTTTTTTTTTTTTAATGGAATTTATAAAACGGGGGGAATGAAAAAATTTGAATGAAAAAATGTAATTAACATTTCCTTGATTTCCATGCATGATCAGACACGAGGTAAATCTCCAACTCTGATTATTTTTTTTGTCTGCATTTGAAATAGCACCAGATGGTCAAGATATATATCACGATGTCCGAGACCGTGGGTGAGGATGGAATAACGACTGATAACAGTTTCTGGTCCAGCAAGTGAAGGGCATAAAAACTTTCGTAATATAAACTTGCTCTATCACGGAAGTGCGGCTAGCGGCAAGCATTTCCGATAGATTTTATTCCTGATGTGACACGGATCTCATTCCTGATTTATTATTTCCATCCACAACCCGACACTTCGACTTATTGAATTTATTTATTAATTTCAATGTGTCATTCATTTTGTCTCCAATTTTTTTCCCCCCCGTTTTCTTTTTTCATCAATATGAAAACGCCCAGGCTGTCTCCGCGCAGATAATTACCCGGTCACTAATGGACAATTAAAACTTCGTAACACGATAAATTGAATGGAAAAAGAGTCAGCGGACGTACACATTTCCCCCGTGGGAGGAAAACTAGACCCTTTTGGGTAACTTGTAGTATGAAGCTGAGAGAAAAGTTGAGCCACTGGGAGCGTA